AGAACAAAACCGCATGGACCTTCTTTCTGCTCGGCTCTTCTATCCAACACTCTTGCTTCGCTCTTCTCAAGAGCTGCTGCACTAGAGCCGCTCGGTGCCTCTTCCTTCGGTTTCAATTGAATGTGTTGTCGTCCTCACCAAGCTTTAGAGTCACGTCTCCCTCCGTTCAACGATAACATACGTCGTCGTCAGTTGACGTTGCCACCTTCAGCTACGGGGAAGCCCTAGCTTGCGTTTAATCGACCCCTCGTTAAGTTGTTCTTACCCAGGGTCGACAATTGCTACGAATTCTCTCAATCTTGCCTTCATCTCGCATCTATTTATAGGGCAAAATCACTCCTTGAATTCCCGACCCCTCACTCATCTCCCTCCCTTGAGGAGATGAAACGAGTCGTAACAATTTTTCTCATAAAAATTTCATCATAAAAAATAAACCATATGTTTTTTCTCATTAGTATGTCAACATTAACTATTTATAAATTTCATGTTGAAAATTATGAGTCATTCATTAAGATGAGAAGTGATCGCTATAAAGTAAATACCTGATACAAGGAGGCTTGATTATATTCCCCTTTTCAATTAAATCAAGATAACAACATATCTAAAAAAACACTTAGTTATTGAAGCAAGAAAATATGCTAGGAAAACACCCTTATATGTAAGAGAAAAGAGCACATTAGACCTTATCACCATCAACAGTAGTAGGTTCTTCAGAATCAATATGAGTGAGGAAATAAACATGAGATCGAACATATTGTCTTGGTTGAACTTAGGTAGTAGCTGAAGCTATAGACTCTATCCATCTCTGCCCACTTGCAGTCTTCTATGAAAGAGCTCCAAATTTTTTATCTTCGATGCTCTTCTGGTCAAGCAATAGACAATATATTGCTACATGATTAGGTTGATGACATCATTAGCATGTATAAGAGCCCATCAAGCACTCAACCTTAAGTTTTTCAACCATATTTTTTGCAAGAGATTATAGTACTTTGACACATATCTCTGCTAAATCCACTTGAATTATACTTAGGATTCTTCTTAATAGATCCCTCTGATTAATCCACATGTTCTCCTTTATCAACTTTCTTCCTTTCATGTCTCACCTTACGCTTCTGAGTAAGCTGATAATCGATCTTCTCTCTTCTAGCTTGTTCTATTAATACTAAGTATTCATCAATCCCCAAAGGTAACAATAGCTGTGTGGTCGAATTCTTTTATCCCTATAGAAATTTGTAGCACTTTCTTCTGTAATAGCAATCAAATGTGGCTCACACATTGACAGAGAAGTTAATTTTACTTTGTACTGCATGACTGTTTTCTCTCTCTGAACCAATCAAATAAATTTGTCTTGCACTTTGAGTAGATGGGGATACAAATCACTTTCTGAATAACTCCACGAATTTCTCCAAAATGACCATCATATTAGATTTGTTCTCTAATCTGTCTCGACGCTGCCGACGCCCCCACCTTTCAGCTTCTCTATCTAGCACAAATGTTGCTAATGACATTCTTCTTTCATCCAGATCGGCCATACTATCTAATATCTTCTGAATTTGCGCCAGTCAATTTTATGATTTGTTTGAATATTCAATTCTCTTAAACAAAAGTAGACGTAGATCTTGAAATGTCTTTATGTACTTATCCACAACAAACACATCACTTCTAATAGGTTGCGATCTGACCTTTTGAATCAGCTGACTCATGGTTGCATCATTCAGGATTAGGACATTCGGGTTCACATTTATAGTATTGTATTTCATCGTTTGTTGTTGGACTCCTTTTTATAATTCCATGTGTAGTTGTTTGACTGAATGAATATAATTATTAATTTAAGTTAATTTAAATTTTTTGATTTGTTATTATTATTAAAGTTTTCTTGTAACTATTCCACCGACTCTCTCATCAGGATTACATTAATTAATTGTAAAGCTTATATTTGATCCAATTTTTGTCACGATTCGACCTGGAGCTTGGATTTAACTAGGGAGGATAGAGACGGTCAAACAGCGGAAATTAAATTTTTTATATTCATTTATTATATTTAACATTTAAGAGATGAAAGAGCCACTAAATAAAGTAAATTAAAATAATACAGTTAAATTTTCCTTGTTACAGGTTGTCCGCATCTTATATAAATATATTATTTTTAATTGCTCATCTTTTAATCGATTAATTAGATATGAAACGTTAGTTTAAAACAACAGTGTGCTAATCAGTGAGCTAACAAGCGAGCTATCCAAAGTCAGTGAATACTCACTCCTAAATTTTTGTAGTATAAGAGAAAAAACACTATTTCTGTCAGTTTAGATTTTAATAAAATCAATATAAAACATTTGATTGATTATGCATATGATCATATATAATATTTAATGACATTCAATGTATTTTACCATATCAATAACATTTCTATATCATTCTATGTTTGTACACGCATCACAGAAAGACCATAAAAAATATTAGTAGTTAAAGTACTTTAATATCAATATCCTTTTCTACTTACGTGCATGCTTATCTTAATGTCCCCCCTCTAGTGCCATAATAAGGTGAACTTTATTGTAGCCAAACATACACATGCAAACATTTATACCAAACATTATCTAGTAATGATTTTCTTATTCTCATTTATATAGCAGTCAATATAGATGTATACAAATTAATATATATGATAATTTAAATAAGATTGAGTATACATGTCACTCCAATATTATGAATAAAATTCAACTGAATCATAAATCGTGGATATGTAGTGCATAAATATAGCAGTAATAGTAAGTGTATTTGGTCGAGAGTAAACAAAATATTACTATGACATAATAATATGAGTACTTACCTCAAAACGGTAGGACTTGTTATAACTCTTTTAATACGTTAAATGTTGTTTCCAATAGTTAATTACCTATATTATAAGAAAGAATAAAATTTTAAATATATCATTAATTATGTTTAATCAGTCTTTTAATTAGTTTTATTATTTTTTTTTGTTGATTAGAGAATTTGTTTTAAGTTATTTAGGTTACTTTAATTTGACTATCAAAACTATAACTTACTAAGCATCCTTGATTTATATTTTTATTCAATATGCAATTAATGTTCCCTCTAATTTAAATAATTGTGTAAACTTTTTTGATGTGCAGCCAGTTGAGTTTGAAATTGATGTGTAGATAGAGACATACAGTTTTAAAGTCTTCGTACTAGATGACTCCGAAGGAACCATGAATTGAAATGTCAAATACAGGAACTCATAGATTATGGATTTATTGAGCCAATAAATTCATCTTGGAGTGCTTGCGTTTTGTTTGTCAGAAAGAAAGATGGATCAATGCAACTATTTATCTATTATAAAGAGCTGAACAAACTGACAATTCAAAATAAATATCCTTTTCCTAGAATCGATGATCTATTTCATCAGTTAGAGGGCGCTACTATATTTTCCCGAATTGATCTATGATTGGGATATTTTCAGTTGTTTTACATCAGGGATCGGCTTTAAACCCATATCATTTTGCTTTAGTTATGGATGATTTTACAGGACACTTATAGGAGGATGTACCTTAGTGTATGTTTTTTGTTGATGATATCTTCTTGTGGATAAGATGAGAGAAAAAACTCGGGAAAAACTTGAATTATGGAGGTCTACTTTGGAGTCTAAAGGCCTTCGTTTGAGTAGAACTAAAACTGAATACATGGAATGTAATTTTAGTACTAGTAGCTCTAGGTACAGAAATGTAACTATGGGCGATCAAATTATTAAAAGGTGTGAACGCTTTATATATCTCAGGTCTATTATTCAAAGGATGGGTGATATTGATGGGGATGTTATTAGTAGAATTCAAGTTGGTAAGTTGAAGTGGAGGAATGCTTCGGGTCTACTGTGTGACAGAAAGTATCTCTTAAACTGAAAGGAAAATTTTATAAGATGGTAGTGAGATCTGCAATGCTCTGTGGTGCTAAATGTTGGCCTTTAAAAGAAAAGCATAAAACTAAGTTAAGAAGTTAAGCTAAGTTAAATATTGTCGAGATGAGGATGATTAGGTGGATGAGTGGCTTTACACTTAGAGACAAAATGCGAAATGAATACATCTATGATAGGGTTGGTGTAGCTCCACTGATGGACAAAATTAGAGAGAGTCGTCTTAGATGGTTTGGTCACATTAAATGTCGACCATCTGATGATCCGATTAGGAGAGTAGATGTTTTAGATTCGACTTATGTTAAGAAAGGCAGAGGTAGACCTAGGAAGACTTGGGCTTATTTTATAAAAAATGATCTTAATTTACGAGAACTAAATGAAAATATGACACTAAACAGGACGCAATGGAGAAAAAGGATTCATGTAGCCGACCTCACGTAGTGGGATTAAGGCTTTGTTGTTGTTGTTGTTGTTGTTGTAATCTCTATAGAAACTTGTCCTGTTGTTATCAGTATTTTGTTTTAGCACAGCATTGTTTGTTGCTGAAATTTATCATTTGCTGGATGCATGTTTTTATTGTAATAATTTTTTTGTATATATAATGTCATTGGGATGCTTGTTTTCTCATCTAATTCTTCTTGAAGACATAATGTAGCCTAAATTGTAGTCAACATATATTCAGGATCAAAATTTATTTCGTCTCCTTATTCCTTTTGATGATATACTGAGGAATTATGAGTGGAAAATCAATCTTTACTTTGACGATTGTATCTATTAAACATATATGTCAGTAATACAACAGTTCTGACCTCGTAATGTAGATAGGGTGAACTATTACGCTTTTAGAATAACATGGTCTATATGTTATGTTACCCCCCTTTATGTTTATGAGGATAAATTACTGTTAATAGCTGTTGTATGCTTTTCGTTAAGAATGCTTTTGACGTTTTGTTTTAATCATTAAATTTTGTCATTTGTGATAGTTTATTTTTAAATTATTTTTTAATTAAAGGTTGTCTTATCTTTTTCAAAATCCTGCTGTGGTTATGGTTTCCATGTTTATTCATAGACTTATGTTATATTTGTGCAGGGCGCCTACTGTTTACAGCATTCTTCTATTGCTTCTTCGTGATTCAACTAATTTTAAAATTAGAATACACGCTGCTATTGCATTGGCTGTACCAGCATCAAGGCCTGGTGAGGAATTGTTTTTGTTGTAGATCTATATTTTTATTTGGTGCAAATTTAAGGATTTTTTTTCTTTTTTGAATATTTGCGTGGTTGTGACAATGTTTGTTACCTTGATGAATTGTTTGTTTTCCAGTAAGTCTTCAAAGCATCAACACCATGGTGAAAAGTAAATTATATATTATGCCTGATTGGTTTTTTTTTGTGGTATGGAGGTGGGGGGGGGGGGGGGGGGGGGGGGTTGGTTTTGGAGATGGGCAAGGGGTTTTATAGATCAGGCTGGAATTCAATCACAAATGCAATGCCTTGAGCTCTCGACCAACTGACTAAGGTGACATGCATTGTCAGATTGCTAATAATTCGACTTTAATTTTTCATCACTTTTGTTCTGGATTTTCTACTTTTCACCCATCTTCATCATGTTTGGACTTGCCACAGCAAATAGTAAGAATTAAACAGCCATTTGTGGGAAAAAAAAACTTTGAATTACTCCATTAAGTCCAACAAGTTTTTTGATGTGGATATAAATTATAAAATAGTCATGATTACTTGTCATTTATAACTTGGATTTTCTAGTTATGTAATTATTATATTCGGGATATTTTTACCCATACTATTACTTTGGTATTAGCTTGTTAGTTTTGATTTTGGTATCAACCTTACAAAAATTCTATTCTTCTATAAGAGCAGAACAAAACTGATTATTATGATTTATATTATGCTCTTAAATCTACTTACAATGTTCAATGTTTTTCTTCAAGGAGGATGACCAACTTATTGGTGTCAAAAGACATACTTTCTTATGCCTAACATTTGTTAATATTTTAAATAATTTACTGCACACGGCCTACTTAGTGTTAAATAGCTAGACATTTTTATACGTACCATGTTTGAAAGTGGTAAATTGAAAGGTTTGCTGTAGATGTTTGAGGAGTTTGGAGATTCAAGATTTTGTTCTGTCCATTTATAGATGTTTGGGTTTGTGTGTGTGTGGAGTGAAGGGTTTTATAGATCAGGGTGGAATTCAATCACAAATGCAATGCCTGAAGCTCTCAACCATTTGACTAAGTTGACATGCATTGTCAGATTGCTAATAATCCGGCTTTAATTTTTCATCACTTTTGTTCTGGATTTTCTACTTTTTACCTATCTTCATCATGTTTCAATTTGCCAAAGCAAATAGTTACAATTAAACAGCCATTTGTGGAAAAAGAAATCTGAATTTACTCGATAAAGTCCAACAAGTTTTTTGATATGGATATAAATTATAAAGTTGTAGTCATGATTACTTGTCATTTACAACTTTGACTTTCTAGTTATGTAATTATTATATTCGGGACATCTTTACCTATACATTTACTTTGGGATTAGCTTGTTAGTGTTGACTTTGGTATCAACTTTATAAAGATTGTATTGTTCTATAAGTGCAGAATAAAAATGATTATTATGATTTATACTGTGATTTTAAATCTACTTACAATGTTTAATGTTTTTTTTTTCAAGGAGGATGACCAACTTATCATTGTCAAATGATACATACTTGGTTATGCCTAGCCTTTGTTAATATTTTAACTAAGTTACTCCACGCGACCTTCTTAGTGTTAAATAGCTAGATATTTTTATACGTACCATGTTTGTGAGTGGTAAACTAGAAAATTTGCTATATATTTTTGAGGAGATTGAGATTCAAGATTTTGATTTGTGCATTTATTACCCCAGATCTGAAGAGAATATTAATAAGAAAAATTGCACGTTATCCTCCAAGAATTCATGTGATTATGTGCAAATCTCCAATATCAGTAAATAGCTAACTCAGTATTTCAAAGGGATTCAAAATATTCCGCAAACATTGCACATTGCAAAGAAGTGATAGATCATCACGCTAAAGTTCTTGAATTTATTCAACACAAATGTCTTAGGAGGGTGATATGTTAAGTAATAACAAAAGGAGATATTGAGGCCTATGACAACGATGAATGAAATTTGCATAAGAGGCCAACGGTTCAAATGACCAGTATGTAAAAATCGAGTGTGCAGTAGAAAAATAGCTTGATTTGATAGACAAACTGGTATGATGGATGAATTGAAGGAAATTATTTTGTGAACTGATGCATATTCTTGCTTAATTTTTTTTGGCGTTTTCCTTCTCGAAAATAAAGTTCAATAAAAATATCATCATACAAAAACTTATCTTTGTCGCCCTATTTGTATAGGTTCTGCAAGAATATTAGTTTGGCGATTATATTGCCTCTGTATGGGCTCTTTTGTCCCCAATCATAAAAGTTTTATTATCAAATGTTAAATAGATATTTGATTCATTTTTAAAATATACCGAACAAATATATACATAACAAAAAAATTTACACATACTTGATGCCTTCATTTAAAATTGTCATTAATTAACAAATTTTCTGTTTAATCATAATATGTTTAATTAAGAATTTTTATCATTAAAATTTGTGGGTGGTCATTTATACATTAGTAAATTGTAAATATACTATCTTATTCATTTTTACATGAGTAGTAAGTTGTAAATATACTTTTTATAATATTGGAATTTATATTGCATTTCACCTATCAGTCTAACTTAAATATAAATACACATGCAATAGATTAAAAGAAAATTTTCTTTCTATGCTTTGATTTATATATCTTAATCAATTGATGGCTGACTTCTTTGAATTGTTTACCCTGAACCTTTTTAATTTAACCAACCAAAAAATTTCAAGTATCTTAATTTTTAACCTTAATTCTTAATCAAATTAATTTGAAAATGCCTTCTTATCTCACAATTATCTCTTCTCATGCAAGACTCAAGCACATAATTACCTCGAATTGAAGTCATTAGGTTGGAGGAAAGCACAAATAATTTGATTTTTAACTTAATTACTCTGCCTTTTTATCACTCTTCTTCCCTTTCTCTTCTCTCTCTATGCCTCTTTTTCTTATATTTTTCCACCTTTACTCTTTGGTTTGGTTCAGCACCCACTCTCTTTTGCCAAAACAGAGAACCTATGCCTTTGGAAATCACTAAATGAGCTAGTGGTTAGGTTATATCTAATGTATATGTAAATATTTATTTGTTATTTCCTTAATAAAATCTTAGCCGTTGCTTAGAATATCAGTTTATTGCATGCACATAAAACCATAAAAACTTGAAATCCACATTCGGGATAATAGTAGATGAACAGTTTTATTAAAAAATATAGAAAATTTTATTTAAATGAAAGCTAATTTTCTTAATTTTTTTTATCTCTATGAATTAACAGATGCTTCTATTGATGATCAATTTGTTGTGTTGAATGCAATGAAATGATCTCTTGATAACTTTATATAGTTAAATTTTGAGTAAATTTTATTTAGGATATTTTGCATTTATACCTTATAGGAAACTTAGTATTATTATTCTTCACTTTTTATTAAAGTTTTATCCTCGAAATTCACGCTCTTCATAATCTGCTGAATAAGTTGGAAAATTTTGTCTTACATCCTGCGTATTTTTCTAAGTTATTCCTTGTCTTGATTTGTACTTGTATTGGCTTCTACAAAATGGATCAATTTATTTCTCAACATTTTTAAATTGAAATCCAGAAATTTTCCGATTCTTCCATATAAGTAAAATCTTTTTATACTTCAATTCCATTGTTTGTTACAATTTATTCTGCACAAGTAATTTTTTTTCTTGCATTGGTAAATAAAAAGTACATTACAAACTCTGTCAGTGAGTTTAAATGTCTGATAAATTAAAGACTCAAGTTTTCTTGTTGGTCTGATCTAAAATGCCTTTCAAAGGTCTAATCTTTAAAATTACAAATTAAATCACTTAAAAGTTTATGATTTAATGTTTAGGAGTTGCCCGTTGGAAGCTGTCGCTCATCGGAATCAAAATCCCGTCGCCCGCTTCGGAAGGACATTTTAATTTACATATGTATATAAATTTAGAAAAATATGAAATCAGACTGACCTCATATTTTTCAGAGTTTAAATGAAAGAGCACTGTACCTCAAACTCTGTATCTATCCCAAGGGATAAACACAAGACTTGAGGATAAAACTCGATCAAATAAACTAAGAATTATATGATGTCCGTTTGGTCTGGGAAACTGTTTTGTTTGCCGACAATTTCTTTTATTTAATATGAAGAATTAAATAAGATTTATTTTAAGCTGTGTTCGGAAAAACTTTCTATAAGGGCGAACCTCTATAGTTAATTACATCTTCAATGACCGAAGTCACCTAAGAAAACTTTCGATAAAATCAGGGAATGTTATCTTCAAAGAAGTCAAAGGATAGGTTTTTTCACGAAATCGGACAAAGAGGTGTGAAAGAGGAATGATTCAAATTTGGAACATTTATTGTATGATCCGAAGGAGAAAGAACTAAGGGATATCATAGATCCGAAGGAAAACCTTGGTGCCTTCCAAGTTTATCATATTGTTTGGCTTCAATTTAGAGGAGAAAATTATTTAAATGTTTCATCCTGCAAATTTTATTTGTTAGGACTTACATTTATGTGAAACGATCACACAAATAGCCGGGAAGATGTGAGGATTTAGGTCGTAACGAACGACGACCTCGGAATCCTAGGGCGAGTTAGGGCTTATATTACACAGCATGATTGTGCAAAGACCTAAAGATGAGTTGAGGATTTACGTTGCATAAGCAAACAACCTCGAAGTCTTATGACTTTGTTGTTTAATTGTAAGGAAAAGAAATTGGTTTAGCTGGGGAAGACATGTTTTACTGTTGAAGATGGTCGTGCTGCCCACCATGCTAGCTCCAAGCTCCTCGCCGTGATGAATTCAAGTTTTCTAGTGTGTCAAGTTACGATATCAAATCAGGTGACTTTATAGTTGTAGTTCTTTAAATATTTTATGGGAGTATGTTAAAGTTGATTAGAGCGACACCTGTTAGGATCCTACGGTTCCCTCGCCATGAGAAATCTCGTTAGCAACCGTAGGTTACCTCCTTCAAGGGATTCCCGATCATCCGATAGATAAGTCTTAATTTAG